AGCGATGAAAAAGGAAACACTCAATTATCGATGTCAGGATGCACAAAAGAACATCATTAAACTCGCACATGTAATACGTGAAAATATCAAATCAAAATTCAATTAAGACGCGACTTTTTTTTAAGATTGAAAAAAAAATACGAAATTTTGTTATTCGTTAATATCTATTAAATTTGGTCAGTTCGTCGAATCTTCACACATAAAAAAAATTTTTATTTGTTTTGAAGAATACATTTCTGAATATTGCATTGCAATATGCTGATCATTCTGTTATTAATATTCAATTATCGCAGTATCGTAGCATTAGGTCGTTCTATGTGTGTTACCGAAGAAAAAAATAGGAGCTCAACTGGATTGGAGCAAAATGCGTAAAAGCATCAGGTAAAAAGGTCGAAAGGATAAAATGTAACCAATGTCGTTGACACAACGATTCGTAAGTATTATGGATCTGGCGCGAGGTAGGAAAAGTCAAATAAACCGAGTCTCTTCTTTGTAGTCTGTGGCGTTCTATAGAGATGCCTAAGCCGGCATAATCGACCCCCTACGAAGAATGTTCGGCCTTCAAAAACAGAGAAGGAACGCGGCCGACGGTGGCGCATGGTTCATAGCGGGCCATTTAACGGTCTTTGCGAAATTGAGTCATCACGCGGTTCCCCTGGAATCTCGAATATTTTCCTCCCGATGCTTCAGCTTCTCCGTACCACCTCTCCCCTCCCTCCCCCCCCCCTCTCGTCTCGTCGTACCCCCTACTACAGACTCTTGCACATCTCTCCTCCCTCTTACGTTACTATCTGACGAAGGTAGCATACTCTCGTAGATCCTCCCGGCGTCACGATTTCGCAACTTCCTGTGGAAGATTCGCAGCGGAAGCGAGCGGATTTCAAATTTCCGTAACCGAGAAAGCACAAATTTGGAGACGCGCCCGCGAGACGTTGCCCGAATTCTTTTGCCCACGTTCTATATACTCCTCTCGTAACTTCTACATACATACGAGAAAAAGGATAGAAACATGAAGTATCCATTGCGAATTTTTTGTTCGTAAAATATTAAGAATTGTATTTAATTAAAATATATTTATGTATATTTCATCTTAAAGGAAGACTTGTTCTCTTTTTCTTTCAATTTATAATTTTTCGTAATAACTTCACTCACAATCAGTTAGTAACTCGAATGATATCTGCCAGTGTGACAGAAATGACGTGCTTGCTGTTTGTTTGTTATACAAAGTAAAAGTATATTAGAGTGAAGAATACATATATTTCACATCGCAGTCTCTGTATTTTTAGTTTTTGTAGGAATCATGATCGCGCTGACGACTCGTCAGCGCCGCAAGAGGACATTGATCGTACATTTATATTACAAACAACGTCTGCATCCTTGAGCGAATTTCTGCGGCAACAATATTCATCTGCACAATTTACAGAGTCCGGAACGAAGACGAATGTCCGTAATTTACGACTTGCGATTTGCAATGCAAAAAAGAGTGGCGGATGGAGATTCGGCGTTGTCGTTTCATTTCGTCTCCTCGACGTTCGTGTTTATCCTCGACATATTGCGTCGCTCCCTCGCTCGGGTTAACGATGAATCATTTAGCGAGCTGTGTTCGCCACTACCGACTCTTAATCGAGTCTTTCCGTAGGAAGCAAGACGGTAATCTCTCCGAAACTTTCCACGAAACTTGGAGATTTATCGGGGAAATAATTTATTTGCCCCAACGGCAAGAACGGCGGGTGGTTGTGTCGCGTCGTGCCAGGAGAGACGTTACAATTTTCATCCCTCTCCGCTCCCCGCTAAAGTGCTTTGATAGTCAATATGAATCTGCAATTAATCCCGTGATGTCAGCAGAGTGCGCGTTTAAAAGAGAAATATTTGATTTAACATTCCTGTAATCCCTGAAATGATGCAAATATTCATTCTCTCAATATCTGCGTAATTAATATGTAATTTCAAACTTTTACAGAGCACGACGTTCAAATTTTGTATTGTAGATGATGTAATTGTTAATCGAACATGTATCTAGGGAAACGGAATTCAAATATCGTCCATTGCGATATCAAAATTAAAAACGCAACTTCCCACGCTGTCGTTAGAATTCTAGACGTTCGGCTCGTCACGCGTTTATCCATTGGGATATCGAAGTACTCCGGCGTGATTCTGCTTACCGTACGGTTAAATGTTATTTCAATTACGACACGTTTGATGTCGTCTGGCGCCGGTTTTACGGTCACCGGTGACCGTAAAACCTTAACGGCTGTGAAATCTAAGCGGCGATAAGGTGGCGCGTAGAAACACCGTTTACACAGTTCAATCGGCCGGAAATCAATTCATCGAAGAACTCCCCCGCGCTCAACCACAACGACAACTCCTTTGTTTCATCAAACGGTTACGTTGCATTTGTCATCGCATATTGACCATTCAATGAAGTGTTCAATACGTAGCGTGGTAGCGCGGTTAACATAATAGCAATTCTCTGCAGCACGCGGCTGAACTTCGGTCAGAGAAGAATGGCTTGGAAGAAGAGCTTTTCCGGCTTTTGTTTGTTAAAGAGGATTCTGCTTTAAATCGTTGTATATTTTATGAAAAGTAGAGCTTGGAGATTAAATAATTTCGATAATATAATATTTTCACGAATGCATGTAAAAATGCAAATCTATCGGAATTTGAGCTATTGTGAATTTAGAAAGCGATTTTAACCACGTGAACAATCTTTTGCTTTTTCCTATAAGTACACATGGAAAATTAAAATCAATAGACACTATAATTTGTCGAAATTTAATAATGCATTTCATCGAAAAGTCTCCCATCTTTTTCTTTTTGCTCGGATCTTTATATCTCAGCATTCTGCGCACAACGATAGTCGCGCATTTGGAAATTATTCTCCAGATTCTACACTGAGTTTTTGATCGCCGCAGTTTGATGCTATATTTTTCATTGCTTCCGATCAATAGAAAAACAAAACATTCCACTCCCGCTCATCTCTCTCTTTTCCTCTTTTTCTCCGATTTTACCTTACGCACGATGTATGCACGCGGTACATTGTTGTATAAAAAAAAAAAAATGGAATGGAGCGCGCGCAAATGGAATATTCGTGTTGTTAAATCCGGAGGCCGTTGGATTTTCATCGTACGCGATGAAACCTGAATACGTCCCCGTGCATTCGAATCGATTCTCGGTTCTTTTCACCGTTTTGAAATCGTCTCTCGTTATCGACAGTTTCGAGCGGTTTATATTCACGTGTAACTGCGCGATTCGAACGAAAGCATTCGCTCTCTCTTTCTCGTTTCGTCTCACGGGACGTTTCTCCCGCCTCTTTCCCGTTTCACTTCCCGTCCGCTTCGGCTCATTACGATTTATTATGCTCGTTATCAACCCGAGTCGCGCGTTACGCGTCCGCGTAATTTCGCGTGGATATCCGCTGGATTGAGTCGCCAAACGACGCTTTAGACCGCCGTACTCGTTTCCACGTACGCTCCCGCGTTAATTAGAATTTATGACGAGTGCACTTTATCACCCGCTAAATTTAGCCACGAGTTTTGCGCGAAAATCGTTTCCGCGCGCGTGACAATGAAATTGCGCTTTTTCACACGATTACAGTAAATCGCCCGCCAATTAGCGTCATCCATGATATCGAGACAATCTGCATTATTTGCCACAGTGGTAAATCGTATGTATAGGTTAATTATTGTTTAAATATTCACACTGTACAATTACTTATAATTGCTTATAGTTATTAAAAAAATCATTTTTAAATCGCTATACACGAACAAAGTTATAAATTCAATATTACATAGAGGTTTATATAGATTTGTTTCTGATGTAAGATTTTATAATTTTGTAAATCATCACTTTTTTTATTATAATATATAAATATTTTATGAAAAGTTTAAAAGACATGTTATAAATATACATAGAAAAACTCAAGGAAGGTATACATAAAATACTCTGATCACAAAATGATAATTTTAAACTATAATATCCGATAGACTGTTGACTGATTTTAATGTATACTTACAAAAATAGTTATAATGCAAATAATTTTTCCAAAATTTTGAATAAAGCACATCAAATGGAGTAATATTCATTTCAATAAATTTATAGCGCACTTTCATCCCCATAGACTCTTATTAGTCTCTCTAAACTATACTTGTTAATTATTAGTATACAAATAACTAATTGTAAGAAATATCGATGTTGTAATGTTTTAGATATGATGAAATTGAAAGATCATGAATAAGACCTAATAAAGACAAGATAATTTGTGTGTCCCTCAAGCTGGTTTAAAATGCAATCGCTTGAATTAAATACGTCGACGATTTAGCTCTATCGTAAAGCGCATTTTATCTGGCGCTTCTGCGAGGCAGCTCTCAAAGCCTATTTCGAGCGGTTTGCTCGAGGGTTTGTTTGAATCCGTCCGGTCTGTTTCTCGTCAATTCTAGAAGGAATTCTCGTATTCGAGGCTTGTGAGAATGCAATCTTCATCACGGAACTCTCATTTCCCAGGACTGATTCTGACGCTTCTGCGGATATCGCAATTGTTTGTTTCCATTCTCGACATGTAAATCAGAATTTATACGTAGTGTCCAGATTTTTCTTCAAACTACTTGGAAGAATGAGAAACGAAAGAAAAACGAGCTTAAAAGAGAGTTTGAAGAGATCGCGAGAATACCGACTTCTGCAAAGTCTCACTTAATTCTACGAGTCTTTAATGGCTATTAATAACATAAGCAGAGTGATTTTATTAAATATCTCGAGTCGTTTATTTCAACCTTTAACGCAATATCTGGAATATAAATATGTATATGCATGAAGTCATGTTTATCTTGAATTAACATTTAGTATATATAAATCATGATTAAATTATATTAATACGATGAATATTATCTAACCTAAATGCGTCTGATTGTTTATATGATTACGTGATTTATTTTTTGTGAGCAATATTTATTACGGTTTACTAATAAAGAATACTGATCTTTATGCGCATAATTCTCTGGTTGCAGGTCGCAACGAGCTGATCGCCCGTTATATCAAATTGAGGACCGGTAAGACGAGAACGCGAAAACAAGTATCCTCGCACATACAGGTTCTCGCGAGAAGAAAACTTCGGGAAATACAAGCAAAACTCAAAGTGGTGAGTACATATCTTATTTACATGTTTTCCAATCGCGTGCGCTTATTATTATATATATCGTCGTTTTTTTACATCTTTTTCCAACCACACCGAGCCTACCTATCGACGTTGTGCCTCTCAATCACGTTTCTTGCCTCTTTCGTGGAGGGACAACCAACAAATTCATTCGAAATGATATAAATTTTGTTTATTTGTATAAATTCGACATATTGTGACTACACCAAAATAAACTACGCGACAACAGCGGTTTAACATGACACATTATTATAATAATGAAATGCGAAATAAACGCGATTGTGCGATTATTCATTTAACAATATTGCAATACTTGATGACACACCGTGTCATTTGATAATATATTGAATAAAATGTTGCGCGTGTCGTATAAACACGATACTTGGCACGTGGAATTGATATTTGAATCTCACGTGCGGCAGATTTTTATTTCTCTTTGAATTGTGCAGCGCTGATATACTGGAAATGTTCGATAATCAAATTTATTGAGACAAAGTGATAGTCACATAATTGAATACAGCTGTGTGTTAAAAAAATTTTTTTTAAATTATATTTATTAAATAATAGTATATTATTATTTAAATATTATTTTTTATATTTTTTATTGAGTAATATTTTATTAATGAAATAAAACAAAGAATTTTATTGAAAGAGGATAATTAATAAAATTGTTTCTTTAATTTTTTTTATTATTTCTTTAAAAATTTTAAAGACAAAAATATATTCGAAAAAAAACTATGTACGGAAGGAAACTGATTTTATCATACAACGGTGTTGATATAAAAATATTTTTTTCCGTAATGTAGGTATATTATTTCTTTTTTCGTTTTAATAAAAAAATTTTAATATATTTAATAATATTATACATAGATTCGCTTGGTACGAATAAAAATTCCGCATGTGAAAATTTTCTTTACTAAACAACATTTTTCACAAGCAATCGAATGTCCGATCGAAACGTTCAGCGTTCAGATAATCAGAATTCTGTTGTATTCGCGTTTTGCACAATGTTGTCTCGGTGAGTAGTAGTGACGATATTAAATCGTGATTGGCGATGTGTGAGCATTAGCGGGCGATGGCCGTTGTGGAATCATTTTCAACGAGAGGGAGAAATACATATATCAAGGGACACACATATCGAGAGAAGCGGTGCGCGGGATAAATCACGCGTAAAAATGAACCTTGCCCGTTTAATCAACAGCTGAATTATTAAAGCGATTCGCGAACAATTGCATGCCGGTTAATAAATCAAAGCAGGGCGGTACAATCGGTGGTGCTTCCATTTCGCCGATGGGCGGTGAAATAACAGGAGACAGAAGACATGAGAGAGAGAGAGAGAGAGAGAGAGAGAGAGAGAGAGAGAGAGAGAGAGAGAAAGGAGGGGGAAGAGAGACAGAGAAATAGAGTATTGTTTATACTGGATCGGTCAATATTCGGAATAGAAAAAGAGTGAAAAAACAAGCGGAGCGTGTAAATTAACCGTGCAATTGCATGCAGCACTCTGGCAAAAACTCTCGTTCGAAGAAAAAAAACTGCCATTTAATCGACGACGATAAACCGAAATTTTTTTCGGATATTTCGCGCAACTTAGACGTTATTACTAAATTGTCGGGGATAGTGAAATATAATTTATATAACGTTTATACCCGTCTCCTTTCACTATCCCCAAGAGTTAACTGATATAGAAGTAATTAATTTATCGCATAAATGTATTACTCGATTCTCCGATACTGATATAATTAGCGAAATTCAATAAAAGATTCTGCGATTCGAAGCGGTTGTATAATAATACGATATCACCATAATCTCTTTTCAAAAATAACACTTTTAAGATAAATGGACGAATATCAAAGTATCGATCGTTTCTAAAGTACAAGCGATTAAAAATGCAAAGTTTCATGAATTATGTTTCAAGGACAGAGAGATAAAAGAAGATAACGAAATTTTATTTTTTATTTCAGGTGAACTTTAATTGAGTTATATCTGCAATGTTCAGATTTAGCTAATAAAGACAATTGGTTGCAATAAATGATAATGTTTATCAGCATTCTTTTATAATCTTCTTTTAAATATAAACCTTTTACACGTTTTTCATAAGCACGATACTGTCTTGTATGAGTAATTTCGCGTACAATGTATTGTATAATATCTTTATTTTTCCGCGTTGTGTCATTTTTATATTCTATTGTACCTCGGCTCTTAAACTTCCCAAAGAGTTCAGGAAAACGCCGGCGTTTCTCGAGCAATTTTAATTACGCTCGTGCGCTCACGACTTTCGCGTAATAAGATGTCGTCTGTTTCCACGCGCGCGGTTCTGTGCCACGATGCCATTTATGAAATACTTGCGCGGGTTTCCATTTTTAAGCACGGTCAGCCGCAGCTGCAGCGACTGCAACTGCAGTGGCCGCATACCGCGAACATTATTCAGGAAAGTAGCAAGCGTGGGAGGGTGGTACGGTCCACCGTGACGTAATTTTCTGGTTTTCGCGTTTCAGGAAGGGTGAATGCTGTGCTGCGCCGCGCCGCGCCGCGACTTTTGCTTGTTGCTCAGGTGGGGTTGCTATCTCCCTTCCTGCGGCCGCAAACCGTGCGATTTATTCGGTCAGAAAGGAAAAGAATTTCGCGAACGATGTTCTCGCGTTTTCCACGCACCGGTACTGTGTCTTACATAAATCGTGCTCCTTGCTTTCGTATATTTTAATAAGATGGTATAAATTTAAAGAAAATTGTTTATCTCATTGAAATGTAATCGACTAAAATAAATGAAAATCTCGCATTGAGAATTAGAAAAAAGTTCGGTTTTTATGTATAGAGTGTATGAATTATATATTTATTTTATAAATTTTAGAATAATTTACCTAATAATTACACATTTCAAATTATAGATAATAGAACAGAATTTAAGATCTATTTGAATTTGTTTGTTATTTTACAGTCAACCTTACTTAATGAGAACGTTAAATTGTCTAATTAAATAATTTTTAATTTTTAATTTTATTTTAATCATCTTTTTTCGACATTTTATGTCATTTTCTTTTATATTAATGGTGCATATTACATTTCATGTGATCTCGATTTAACTTTTATGCTTGTACATTTTAGATGCTCGGGTATTAAACTGATGTTACACCAACTATCATAATCTATCGAGATCGTTCGTGGTTTTATCTATTTTGGAAATAATTGCACCAGGCATTACGGCGTAATTAATTGTTGCGGTGTAAACGTACTCCCGATAACGGGGTTGTAGTAGCAGGAGCGGGTTACGGGAGGGTTCCCAAAAACGGGCGAGCAACGTTTCAGAATGTCGATAAACATGTCCAACCCCGTTACCCGCCCAATCCTCTGCATTCCTGGCGTGTATTCGAGAGATGAAGGGCGAGAGAGAAGTAGACAGAGAGAAGAGAGTGAGTGAGTGAGTGAGAGAGAGAGAGAGAGAGAGAGAGAGAGAGAGAGAGAG